CTTTAGAACATATCAAGGGTTATCTTAAAATGACACTAGTTACAGGGTTCTTGAACTGAATTTTGGGGGCACATCCTCACAAGGAGTCTCACTCCACTGGGGCACCTGTAACAGTGAAGATGTCACCATCGTCCCACAGATGTCTATCCACAAGACTTCCCAATATTTTCTAATAATTGTAACAGCTAATGACAACAGTGAGTGAAAAGCCCTCTTCTACACTATGGCAAGGAGCATTTTTAGGCTAAAGACCAGGAAATATCTGATGATCAAAACTAAATGGGTTATGATACATATTCTTCTAAGCTTCTCTTTTGCTACAGAAAAAAATGGGGTTTGATTTCTGTAGTCTCAGATGTTCCTTGAAAAATGATCTGCCAATGGGATGCTTCCGCAGAAGATCTCTGCTGCAGAAATATTTGATCAGTACCTAAAGTCCAAGTGTTAGAGCTGCTTCCTAAGTTGAAGTAATTGCTGGTCCTACCTCTTGGGAAACAATAGTAACATATTCTTTAAATAAAGCTTGGAAATCCCATCAAGCTAAGAACTCCTCAGCAGGACTTAGAGACCGAGGTGTGACTGGAAATCTCATTGAAACACAACAGCTGAACTTCCAGTGTATTGTAAAATGTACCAAAAGCCCTGAGCTCATGCAAAGTGAACTGCTTTTCATATAGTGCATTTCAAATACACTAAATATTACCAAAATAACTCCTCAGTGGGAAAGAGCTTTAGACTAGCAGAGGATTTTCCTTCTTAAAACCTGTAATTCCAGAAGGTTTGTTTTGTGATGTGTTACAGAATTCCTCTCGCTTGACCTCTACTCTTTCTCCTTGTTGGAAAAAGCTTTTTGCTATTTTGGGCCTAACATGCTTTTGACATCTCCTGCGCTTTCTAAAATGCTGCAACATAAAAGTGCCACAGGAGAATGGGTGGCCTACTGTCGTGGTTTAACCCCGGCTGGCAACTCAGCACCACGCAGCCGCTCACTCACTCCCCCCACAATGGGACGGGGGAGAGGATCAGAGGAGTAAAAGTGAGAAAACTCTGGGTTGAGACAAAGACAGTTCAATAGGGAAAGCAAAAGCCGCGCATGCAAGCAAAGCAAAGCAAGGAATTAATTCATCGCTTCCCATGGGCAGGCGGGTGTCAGCCACCTCCAGGAAAGCAGGGCTCTATCACACGTAATGGTGACTTGGGAAGATAAATGCCATCACTCCAAACGTCTGCCCCCTTCCTTCTTCTTCTCCCAGCTTATATACTGAACATGATGTCATATGGTATGGAATAGCCCTTTGGTCATTTTGGGTCAGCTGTCCTGGCCGTGTCCCCTGCCAGCTTCTCATGCACCCGGCAGAGCTGAGAGCTGAGAAGTCCTCGGCCAGTCTAAGCACTACCCAGCAACAACCAAAACATCAGTGTGTTATCAACATTCTTCTAGTACTAAATCCAAAGCACAGCACCATACCAGCTACTAGGAAGAAAATTAACTCTGTCCCAGAAGAAACCAGGACAGCTACAGCAGGCGAATCTGCCACAGGCAAGGTATTTCATGATGCTGGGCAAGACAAACTGAAGGCAACTTGTAAACTCTAGTGTCAGAACTAGAAGTTGTTATTCCAGGTTTTTGCTCATGTTTGTTTATACACTTCTAATTCCATGTCTCTTTCCAGATAAGGATCTTAGAGTTTTGTAAATATTGATGAATTAAGCCTCAGTTTAGGAAATGGGAAAGTACAGTAATTCCCATTCTACAGAAGAGAAACTGAAATGTATTTGAAAAGTGAGATCTGAAAGTTGTTATATAGACCCTGTAAAATGAAAGCAAAAGAAATCTTTTCTACATTTTTAGTGAAACACTGGTTTTTTAACGATCTCACCGCATACTAGATGATTACACTCCTACAAGGTGACAGTAGCAGTGTGGAAATAAAGGTCTGCTGAGCAAACTGAGATCAAGGTAATCCTTAAGAGAGGGACCTAGAAAAACAGAAAGGTAGATGAAGAGCTCAAACTCCACCAGCCCAGGAATCTTCTAGCTGGCCATGACCTGTTTGAGACATCTACTTCTGTGATAAACATTGCAACATTCAACTACTGAAGGAGTCTCTAATTAAGTAAGTACACAGTTCAAGAAAATTAAGAAATTTCTTGACTTAATCAAGCATAGTTAATGTTTACTTAAAAAAAATGTTGAACCATCTTT